TAACGATTAGTGAAGAGGAGGAACAAGAAGACTGGGATTTCGGAGCCATTTGTGATCATTTTAAACTCAAGAAGTTTTGCTTTCAATCGATGTCTTTACTTAACGATGTCTTCATTAAAAACATTACAAAACTTGAAGACTTGAGACAATTCTCAATCCGTTGTGGCATTCATTTCAACACAACTGCTATGAAGACAATGAATTCATTGAAGTCTTTACTTCTAAATGAAGTCCACGTTTGGCCTAAAATGTGGACTAATTTCGCGAAAATATTTCCTAATTTAAGATTTCTATCACTAAATGACATTCAATTCCATTGCGATTGCACTGAAGGCAACGGTTCCCAAGATAGTAATGATGGCAATGAAGTGAATGGATGCGAAAAGTGTATTCATAAATGTATGCAATGTTTGGCACATTTACCACAACTCAAGAAGCTTTTCATTGAAGGCCCTAATCCTCACATCAATTCACAACAACTCAATCTCTTCACTGAACTCAATGTCTTGTCTCTGAAGTATTTTGAAGACATCGCAGATTTGGCCCATTTTTGCATCAATTGTATTGAGAAAAGAGTTTCAAAGAAGTGTTTCAGACTTTTATTGGATTCAGAAACCAGTGAATCACTTGTGGAGCGATTGAATGCAATGAATGTCTCGATTCCTAAATATTTGATAATCGGATCAAACGATCCATTCGTTGGATAAATGACTCTTTTATTTAGATTCCGTTTTCTGTACTTTACTGAAGACATCATCAGAAATATAACTCAAAAGTATTGAAATACTGTATTACTTAATACTTTACTAAAATAAAAGTTTGCAACGAATAATTTGTTTGTCATAAAAGTGTCACATTTTTCAATAAACTGACAGTATTTTCATAATTTTTCATTTCATTTCGAGTCTTAAGATGTCTTCAGACAAGAAGCGATCGAAAACTGTTGACTCGAGTGTTGTGTCCACTAAAGAGATCACTTCCGGAAAACATGTGGTCTTGAATGACGATGTATTGGGTCTTATATTCAATGAATTAGATGTCAAACAACTGACGAGATTAGAGACAGTTTGCCATCAATTCATGGATTGTGTGGCAATTGCTCTCAAGAGTAAGATTGGCTTAAGAGTTGGATTCGATGGCTATATCTGTAAACGAGATTACCATCCGTTGAAAGATGGAGACATCACTCAAACCTTTACCTTCAGACACGCAGATCTGATTGATTGCAAACAAACTTTGGATTCACTCCTGAAGAAGTGTCCAAACATTAAGTCTTTGTACTTAAAGAAGACTCGTATTGATTGCCAAACAATTGAGTTGATTGTCAATCGATGTCCACAACTGAGACGTCTTTATTTGGATAGTATTGAAATACAGTCGTCAGAAGATTATGGATTGGATTCATTGCCTCATCTCTTGTATCAATTAAATCATTTGACTCTTTGCGGTGAATTGGATGATAAGCTCCGGAAAGTACTGAAGTCCCGGTTTGCCTTCGGGAGGTACTGGAGGTTCAGGTTTGCCTTCGGGAGGTACTGGAGGTTCAGGTTTGCCTTCGGGAGGTACTGGAGGTTCAGGTTTGCCTTCGGAAGGTACTGGAGGTTCAGGTTTGCCTTCGGGAGCACCGGCCGTGGCAGTGGGGGTAATGGAAGGTTGAGAGCACCCAAATAGTTGCCAAATTGAGCCGTTACTTAATAGTTAAAGATCTTCCGAGACTTTGGTGGCGACGGAAACCCTTTTGATGTAATAGAGATCGCTGGAGAACTCAATCAAATCAAAGTTTTTGGTGTAAAGTGTGGACAAAGTGAAGGACGCGTTGACAATGTTTTGCTCAATACATTTGCCGCTCTCCTCGTCGTGCCTCCAACTCATCTCTTGTGCCGTAATTAACTGAAACTCATTTCATTATATGTCTCCTGAAGTCATAGGGCTTTAGACTGGCGTTGGCTTTCAATTGACTCTCTGATGGAATTTCTAGTTTTTGTGCAAAAAAACTGTAATTCATAGCATTAAACCACTAAAATAAGATCAAATACCGAGATAATAGACAAAGAATCTGCGCGTAAGTCCGGACACTTCGTCATACGGAAAGTTAGTAATGGCATACATTCGGTTCTGAAGGTCTTCCTCGGGATACTTGAGGAACAGGGATAGTATGTTCCTGATCCTCTCCCGGCACGTATTTGTATAGATTTATGTTAATCCGGGTAAATTCTAGTTCTTCAAAATCATTGGCCACTACTCTGTACGCAATCAATTGGTAGATATAGTCCTCCTATCACATCGTAATCCGTATCACAAATGAGAATCTAAGCCATGATTTAGTTTCTTATGAATAGGTATCACCTGTTCATAGCTGACGCCAATAAGTAGTATTTGATCATTGGTTGGATGTTTTACGGTGAAGAATAGTCGGATGCGATGGAGGATATCTGTGAGAGTCTGTCACTAGTCTTCCACTTACCATTCATTTGTGTCATACCACTGAAGCCAATCTGTTGGTTATCGTACCGGAAGTGATTCAACCGATAGTATTCAAGTCTGTGTTGACTCGTGTTTAGCATCAAATAAACGGTGCGATCATTGGTACGAAACACTTGAATGACTCGAGAGGTAGTAATAGAAGCACAGAAAGAGGGCTTATCATCGGCTGAGACACCGATTGCCACAAACATAAGAACAACAAGAATAGTGTTTAGATTTTTGAAAAATTTAATTTCACGAGATAACCTATAAGTGAATAATCCAAGTTCAATAACTGTTGATGGCTAATGTAACATTAGTAATGTTTTACTGAAAGTGTTTGGAATTTAAAGTTTTAACTAAATTAACCGATTCAATGATAAATAAATTAGTAGATTCTCTAAGTGCTCGTTCAATAATCAGGTTAAATCAAGTAATAAATACGAAAATAATGACCCTTTTGGGGACACTGATTGTTATACTCGCGATTCAACTAAATTGTAAATTACAATTCAGCGGTAATTCTTTGGTATTTGATAATCAGTTCTGAGTTTAATATTTTAGAAATTCATATTAAACTTCAATCAAATATGAGATTTCATTTAATGATCATATTTCTGGTGATCTTTATTCACACATTTAATGTCATAACAAACGAAGAAACTCCTAAATTCTGTGAAACGCCTCGTTTTGATGGTGTATTTCACTTGGGATGGAGAATAGCCATCACATTTGAGGACTGGTTGTGGACTTATGATGAGAAATTAAGATTTGTCTCAAATCCACCGCTCAAGATGTCGTCTCACTTTGAATTCAGTATTTTATTGTCTTATTTAATACCATTTCTATAGAAATTAATTTACATTCAATTCTTAGACACAACAGTGAAGTCCAGTGTTTTCATCAGTCATACCCCCAGTTGTCCCAACATTTATGACACTGAATATTGTCAACTCATAAGCAAAGCAAATGGTTTGATATTCTTTCGGACATTAGACACAAAGACATCGAAGGAGTCAACCCTTGTTTATAGAGTGGGAACTAACGCCTCATTGACGCCGGTGTCGGTCGCGGACTATCCCTGGAATATGACTCAATCAGTGGACTTCTGGCCCGAAGAGTGGACTTATACACGATTCGGCGAAAGACCGGCTATTTATGACCCGAAAAGCCACGAAATAATGTTCATTATATACAGCGGTCAGAAGGAGTCGGCACTTCTCTATAATGACATCTTAACCATCAATTGGTATAAAGGGCTCAAGAGATCTAATCTGAAATCTTCTGCCAAATTCATGGGAATGTTTAACTGGAAAGACCCAGAAGTCGTTTATGCTCTCATCAATCCTGATGACACCACTCTTGAGTCCAGAGTCTATCAACTCATGGGTCGTCACAAAGAGCGCAATTTCAAAGACACTGTAATATAATTATAAGTTTTTTATTAATTTTGAATTAATTAATCAATTTGTGAAAGTCATACACAATGAGAGGGCTTTTCAGATGTCCTCAGATTATATTGGGTTCACAACCGACAACAGCACCGGACCCTAATTTGCCAACCCATCCACATCCACATGAGTCAGGATCTCAAGGCGCCAGTAGTTTTCCAGCGGTTATCGTAATAGTAGTGTCCGTTATTTTCCTCATAATTATCGTCATATGTATCGTTGCATTCATTTACGTCAGAACCAGAGGTATGCATAAGTCATAAGCAAATGAATGAAATCCTAATTGCATTGAATTGATAGCTAATTCTGTGGCGACGGCTGACCGCAAAAAAGAGTCCGAAAGGAAAAGCCAGGTCTCGGCCGACACGGCCACCAAAGTTGGCTCCATTGAGACCATCAACTCCTCCACCGGACTCGTCGACAGTAAATCTCAGAAATCCTTTTATTGAATACAATTGACTCTCAAATAAACATTTCGCTCAAAATTATTTATAAAATTCAAAACTTTATTTTTTCTTAAATATATTTATAATATTTGTTATCAAAAAATATGAACAAAATTACAGATGAATTATAATATGATTTATAATTAGTATGAATACAGGTTTGAATGGTTGAGTGCACTTCAAATTATTATAATTCATTGATTTTTTATATAAAGTTATGATTTTCTGAATTAATCATCGAAATAAGGATTTGTTTGAAAAGCAACTATCAATACATTGTATACACTATTAATCTAGATTATTTACAAATAGAGATTTGATGCGTTCATACCCTGATCTGATTGTTTTGTAATTTAAATTTTAAATCCATATCTTTATCAATGTTAACAAATGAAGTGATTTCGCAGTAAAATGCATAGATTTCCAATGAAAAGCCATTGAAAGTCAGTAGAAATAAGAGATTTCCTTTTTCATCGTTAATTTATAATAAAAATTACATATAATATAAGTTATAAATAGATTTTTCTCATAAATATCTCCGAATATATTTACAAAATTGTCTATAAATTACAAAACAATTGTTAAAAATTGTTTTTACAATTTCATTAATCAAAGACTAAGTGGTTTTGAGACAACATTTGGTGAGACGTACGGCTGATTAGACTAACATTGTTTCCTGACTGCCCATCGAGAAGGCTATGGTCTCCAACTTGAGGTGCAGGTGCTGTCTCTGACTCTGAACATCACAACAGAGGCCTTCGAATAGCTGTTCCCTATATCGGGACACATAGACATACAGTTCCCTCAACGCGTTATACGTATCCACTTCACCCGTGTATGACTGTTGGGGATGATAAAAATTATCATTAATTTCTGTAACCATTAAATGTTCACATAAATAATGAATCGCTTCTTACAAGTGATATATCGTTCATATTCGCGACGATATCTGACTCGTGAATGGGAGGCAACGACGCGATCTCTGAATAATATTTAGACACCATTTTCCTGTAGACCGGGATATCTCTGGCAAACAGCAACTTATTGGATGGCGAGTCCTTTCCCAACCGGTGCTCTTGTGTGGAACAGGAGTCCATAAATGTCTGTGCGATCACCGATAGGCACGAGTCCACTGCCGATGACTTTTCGATGTCGAACAAGAAGTCGGGATTTTTGACTAAATTCACCCAAAATCGGAGCGGAAGACTACAAACACACAAACAACATGTGAGGGTCTGTTTTCTAAGACATTTGTTAGACAATTGAATACCTATTGCTTTTCCAGGCGTGGATCACCTCGGGATCAGTGATGCCATAATCGGCTGCCGCTGAGTCTAATAAGTCGAACAGCCATTTGACAGCGAGGGGCAGCTTATCGTTGACCGTCAGTATTGTGGACAAGAAGTCGTCCACATATTTCTGAATCGTTCCCTACATTCACACAATTAATATAATAAAACTAATCCACGAAAAGAAATAAAAACTAAAATACAAACCTTTGTGGAGAGAAGTCGCGTCAAATAGATCTCAGGTATGGCTTTGTGGAGCTGATCCTTGGAGGAGGCGGTGTGGTTGTCGTCGAAGGGTTTGACCAGATGCCAGGTGCGCACCTGTCTATCATCACAGACTCGGGTACTATTAGTGTTAATAGTACTGTAATAATGGGAATAGTTGTTGGAGTAGGGGTTGGAGTAGTTGTTTGAATACGTGTTGTAACTGTTCCGGGAGGGCGAGTGAGACGGACTGTGCGATGGTATGGTTTCGTACAAGTGATTACTCGAACGCCTTTCCTTTACTATGAGTCCCATTACAGCGATATCTTTAATGCCGTAATGGCTTAAAGTATTGATCCGTTTGCAGCCGTTTATCACTTTAGAAGTGAGATCTTCGTCGGCGAGTATGAGATGACCGCCTCTCCCGTGCCTCCACTCGAGGTCCACCTCATTAACGGTTGGTCTTTGGGAAAACGGGACGTTCTTATAGATGATGTCCACGATTTTGCTCTTCACTTGACTTATGGTATCGCAGTTAAGGACACGACACTGGACTTTATCAACGAGTCCCTCCTGTATAACATGAATGGTGACACCGGAGTAGTCTACCTGTTCCCGGAGCAGTCGCTCCTCAGACAAGGAGTACCGGGAGTCGTGGGTCACGTAATCGATGGGCCCCTTCTCTATCTGATGCTTAATGGCGTTAAACAAGAGGAATAGCGAACTGCCGGCCACTTCGTTGATGTACTTATACATGCAAAGAGACATCCAGTTTGTCAACAGCTTCTCCACCACCGATTCGGTGCGCCGTAACAGCAGTTGCGGGTGCTTTGAGGCCACGTACTTTTGAATCAGTTTTATTAATAGCTCTCGAAGTATACTAAAGTAACAGAAAAAAGTTTGCCATTAATTATCACATCTTTGGGTAATTCATGACTTTTATGACTAACTCGAAGGCGTAATCCATTTTCTCCATCAAAATAATCATCAAAAGTGACGCCACATTAACTCTGAAGGAGTAAAAAGAGAGACAATAAAATAAAAGTTCAGAGGAATGGGATTACTGTCTGTGAAATGGTTGCGCTGTGAGACAAATGACTGAAATCGATGCTTACTTATCACGAATTGTAAATGATTTCTGGTATTCAAGTGTTTCGATGAACACTAACAGGAAGGAGCGGTTGTATATGAGTTGCTCGAAGTGTGCCATCGATTCCTCGCTATTGAATGGATGACCGTTGGAGAGCTGTTCACGACAGACAACACCAATCAATAAGTTTATCATAAATATAATTAACAAAACTGTTTCCCAATCAATCAGTATTCCTCTCAGGGATATCAATAGAAAACCAATGAAATGCTTACTTTATAGTCGAGCGAAATAGGACTCCCATTATCTGGTAATCCCGGAAAGAAGACTTTGATAATGTAGGCTCTGTGGTCGAGGGTAGGTATGCCAGTGGTCTGCAAGTCGTTGTTTAAGTCAGTCATATCGGTTTGCAATTCAGCGAAAGCCTGTTTACACTCAGATCGGACACTGTTCTCGAGAGTATCCATCTGTAATTGGATCCGTTTGTACTCCCGTTCCGCTTGTGTGCTCTTGTGCTTGAATATGGCCAACACGATCAGACTCAACAGCATTAGCACAGCGCCGGCCGCTACGAAACAGCCGATCACTAGTGGCGGCAACTCATAGGCGGCCGACACCTCGTATCTCAAGAACCCGATGTCGTAGCGAAGGTTTCCCACTTTGACGACAACGGCGGGCAAGTCGTTATCAGTGGAGCGTCCGATTTCATCGGTTCCCAACGGTTGGACATCAGGTGGGAAGCACACCAGTTGTGTCATACTCAATGACGTGATGTTACAACTCCTGGTGCCGATCGTGACGTTCACCTCGTGTTCACTCGACGCTAGTCTCAGATTCTCGCCTTCAATCACAAGAGACTCTCCTTTATATAACTTAATGCCTTTGTCTTCAAATGGGAACAGCTTTGGGTCCAAAACGTACACTAAATTCGATGCAATCATTGGATAAAACTCTTGTAAATCTCTAACAGACTGGACGTCATCCATAACGAAACCAATCTTCAACTTAAGGCCACTGTTGCTGACATCGCGTACTTGTGGTGAACGCGAAGGACTCTGAACGCCATCTTCGATGACTTTGGGTGACGGACACGACATTGTGGTCGCGTTTATGACATGACACGACTGTATCAATAGATAATGAAATGGGAAATCAATTGATTGTCAAAACTAATAGGGTTTGTGGCGATTGTCTTACCGTTTCGTTGACAAGACTCTGTTCATCAAAGACGGCAATTCTTGGCGACTGAATGGATGTGAAGTTACTGCCGGACACCACCAGCGGTCGACCGCCGCTCAAAAAGCTCTCCAATGGGTATATCCTGTCAATCGTGGGGTCTTTGGTGTAGTGAAACGGATTCATTAGCGTATGGTTGGAGCCGTCGATTCTCAACACCAGTTGTCTGACAGTGAATGAGGAATGGGGTGCAGGAGTGGTGCGACAACTCAACTGTTTACTGCTCGCCAACGAACTGTCCATTCAATAGGGATGACAACAAAATGATTGATTGCATTCATTTCGGACCAATTGGTCTAATTGTTAAATCAAATCAAAGTTATATAATACATACCGTTCCACACGACAGGGCAACTCATCCAAGAAGATCTCGGTATTGGAGCCGATGTTAAGGTTAGTGCCGGACAGGTAGAGTCGGGTGCCGCCCGATTGTGGACCAACTTTTGGGTTGACATCACTCAAGTGAACCGACTATTCATGTGATAATGAAATACAACAAAATATATTAATATTTATGAGGGAAGACACACCCAATCGAGTGGTTATATATGATATGATTATAAGAATTAGTTATCATTATTCATATCCCGACACAAACTATATATTCGCTAATGAGTTGCTAAATATTAGCACTAATTACACAAACAATGCCTTTTGAAAACTACTTTTCCCTTCCCTTAAGTAATTTAAATGTATTTTCCGATATTCCTGTCGTAACAGCTGCTGAAAGAGCGTTAAGAATATCTCATTTGATGTTCATTTGCTTGCTTTTAGTAAAGAATATTCCGTACCTTACATTTGATTAGACTTATTATATTAATACTAATATTAAGTAATATTCTTGCGAAACATTTATATAATGCGAGCAAATTAAGGCAATTCTCGTTATCAGAATTATATTTATATATTACAACATAAGTAGAATTGAATTCCCTTTTACCGATTAATTTTTATTGGGGTTTAAAATGACAGACAAATAAAAAATATATAACAAACAATTAATTTTTGTAAAACCGGGAATAGAATCGTGTTTTTAGAGCAAAAGATTAAAAATAAAACTAAAGACAACTATAACTCAAACTCACTCTTTAAGGTTGTTATCGAGGACTTATATAAAGTATAAGATTGGATAAACTATTGCTGTACTCAAGCAATAAAAGCATTGATTTTTCAGTAGTGACCGAAAAAGATTAGATAGCAAATGGAAAATAAATTATTGGACACAACAAAAACAAAAAACCTTATTATTATTATTGCTATGATAACAGAGATTGTGGGCAACAAATAAAGTTATAATACTATTCACATACTACTGTAAAAAAGTAAAAATAAGTTATATTAATATATCAAACAAAAGGAAATTCTTTTAAGAATTGTTATAAATCTACAGAATTGGTGGTGAAGTACACTATCAGTAATTCTTGAGTTAAAAACAAATCTCTCTCTCTCTCTCTCTCTCTCTCTCTCTCTCTCTCTGAGTAAATGTAATAAATATCTAAATAAAGTGAAACACAACACACAAGTGGGGAGAATGTAGTGAATGAAAGAAATAGTTTGCTATTAAAAAAGGTATCAAACAATGCGTGTCTTGAGAAACAAATTTGGATGACTATTATCACGCTTTACATGAGAGTGGAAACACCTGCGACACCGATACCACACTTCAGCCAATTGTATAGCGAATGGAAACGATGAGACCATTTCTCTTCACTTCAATACAATTCTCTATAGTTTACTGAAATTGAAAGCAAATTCTGGTCTAACGCTAACAAACACTGCGAGTACTAAATGTTAACTAATATTTAATCCTAAGAGTAGTAGGCTTTACAACAAACACAATACACTGTAATAAAGTGTATTAGCCTTTAAAACATAAATTGTATATTACTTTTTCATATAACCGTATTATTTATTCTCTATTGTAGTGTCAGGTATTGTATTGTAAACACAATTTGCGATATCATGTCATTATGTGATCGGTGTATAAATGATAAGATATTATAATAAAAGCCTTTTTAGATCTCGACTCCAATAAACATAGAAATTTGTAATTAAAATTATATCAATCATTCGCCGGAACCTAAACACAATCGATCAAAAATTTGTTTCAAATATAAGTAATCGTGGATAATATACGACAATAATTGAACCAAACATTGAATGTGGAAAAGTTTTCAACAAAAATTACTTTTGCGACCATAAAAGCCTTCCAGTCTTTCAATACTTAATATTCGCTTTGGGTTTTAGTCTCTAACCGTAGGTTTTGGGGGGTTTTTCTCCTAAAAGGATTTATGTCTATAATATAAATATATCGTATATTTCTCTCTCAAGAATGAAATTGATATGAAAGTACATTAACTTAAGAGAAAACACAACAGAGTTTTTCATTTTTTGTCAAAAATAATTTTTCTCTCTTTTCAATCAATATTCTGGTATATGGTATGAGAGTTGGAAACGACATTATTATGTTTAAGGGATTGTTTATAACATCACACATACCTTATATTGGAATTTCTCCTGAGCCCGGGTAACACCGGCGCGATTGCCAATCACCACAACCGCTGACTGTTGCCCCACAAGACTGGGACCGGTGCGGCACACGACACTGTAATATAAAT